AGGCTTCCAAACTACTGCCCAGTTGGGCTTCTTTGTATGGCGTGGGACTGAAACATTGATCTACACATCAGCCATGTGGGTTTGGCCCAGCCTCTGTTACAAGGCCTAGCCGAATTCACTGAAAAGACAGTGAACCCCTTGAAGCCCATCACGTGGACTCCTAATGGGCCCAACACTTACATTAAGTGGTCCTTGGGCCAAGCCACCTTATAAAAACCTAGGGACTGTGGGCAGATGCAAGATTAGCCCATTAAGTATTGCCCTCAATGGTCTTACACTTAACCTTTCAGCCCATAATGATCAAACACTGCCCGACAAGAGAGGACATCTCCCTCAGCTGCAAGGAACAATGTTGCACTCTCTGCTCACATGGATCCCAGGAATTAAAATCTTTTTGCAAACGTTTAGAAACCGTAATATATATATATATATATATATATATATGTATATCTTTATATAAATATATTTTGCAAAACAAATTTCAACGATTGAAATCGGCTACCGGTAGTCTTGGTTTCCATCAGAGAGAGTGCATCCCCGATCATGACCTTTGTCCGACAAAGGGGTTGATCCTATCACTATGATCATCCACTTAGATGAATTCTCAAATTGTCCAACATATCCAGGTTTTGACCCCCTCTAAGGATCTTACTGATTGGCATATCAAAGACAGCTCAATCTGACACCTAGTGTAGTATCATAATCGAGTTTAGGGGTCAGGCCACCCCAACTAACTTGGCAGCACACCAGTGTCAGCCTTATCAGGATAGATCTCCCCAGATCGACCCATTGGTTGTGAACATTATAAACTAACACGAGTCTCATTATGTATCCAGTTTAAGGGTATTACATAGAAACACACTACAATAACATGAATCAAATATTCATTTTATTCATTTACAATAAATGTCGTAAGTACATCAATCTTATTGGAACTAAGGGCATACACTGTCTAACATCCGCCACCTTTTTCCTCATCCTTTCAATTTGGTGAAAGATATTACCAAACGTCCTCCTATCCCACTTAATTAATACAGCTCTCACTCTTTAATTTATAACACACTGATCTAGCACCTGTCTCACCAACCTCTTGAGGGAAGTCCTTGTGTGTCTTGTCCACAATTCTTCAAATTTAAACCCCTTCCGACGCTTAACCTTCTCACTCCATAGATTGAAAAGGAGTGGACAGTGATATGATGAAGTTGCAGTTAGGTGATCTATTGAATCGAATTATATCCTATGCAATCCGATTTATTTGCAGCTAAGCTAGAGAAGGTTTAATACATCTCCTATAATTAACCTAAGAATAACGATTTGGGTGAAATCTAATTTTGCTGGATGAAGGATGCGGTAATTTGATTATTGATATTTCATTTCGACAATTGCTAATTTATATTTTAGGGTTTTGTTGGAATAACTTGCCCCTGAAGGATGTGTGACGCAATTGCATTGGTTTCAGCCGTTCAGGCTTTCAAGTTTTATGTTTGATCCTTTATTTGTAAAGTGGTGGGCTTGGACCACTTGGTTTGCTAGGCTTATTCATTTTCTTGTTTTGCAATTACGAGTTGCTTCTTTCTTACTCTTTTCTTTTTTTTTTTTATGACAAAAAACAGAACAAATATAATTTGTACACATAGCAAATGTGTCAAAATTTTTTAATATAATGCTCCCAATGACAAATGCCAAACCAAATCAAATTAAATTTAGTTCGATACGATTTGGTTTTGATTTCCAATTTGTATTGATTCGGTTGGGGAATATGATCAAATAAATTTAATCAAATAAATGTAGAAAATAGCAGTTTTAACCCTAACATCCATTCAAATAAATTTAATCAAAAGAAACTAAAAACAGAAAATATCATTTTTATCCCTAATAAAACATGGATAACCACTTTATTCTTCTCTAATTGGTCAATTTTATTTTCTATACAAAAAAAGTGGTAGCCATACTTTTGGAACAAACAACCATGAATCCATATGTTTAAACATTTTCCACTCAGTTTAGGGATACATTTGGAATAAACAAATATGAGCCCATGCCATGAACATTTTCCACTTAGTTTAGGTGATCATGTTATTATTTTAAGATGGCATAACAAATATTTCTTAATGAAAGGTCAATTAAGCAATTAATAGGTTGCAAACTATAAATACAAACTATATATAGAATATGTTTAAGTAAATCTCTGAAACTATAGGAGGTATTTTAGTAAATGACTCTAAGACTAACAGCTGCCTTGGTGTCATTAAGTCGATCCTGGTCTCTTTCCCTACTTTCACTCAATTCAAAGTCTACATATTACTTTACTCCACTTAGAACCATTCAATGTGTTTCACGATCATTTTCAAAAAATAAAAAAATGTGTTTCACGATCATCACTTTGTACTATTCCCCCCAATTTCATCTAACTTAAAGCTTTTTCAGTTTTACTTTTCATTCTCTATAAAACCCTGCTTCGATTGGATATATCTTGAAAATACAAACACTTAGAGAGAGAAAGAGCAGATTTCTTGGCGACAACTTCAAAGAATACATCATAATTTGTGAGTTGTTTTCAATTCTCTTTCTCTCCACTCTCGTTTTAGTTTGTTTTATTAATTATCATTATTATTATTATTATTATTAGAATAGTTTCTCTAATGCTCTCTTTAATTCTCTCTCCCACTCTTGTATTTTCATTTTTCTCATTTTGCTTTTTATGCCTATTATACTTCAGGCAATCCAGTATTTTTTTGTTCTCACCTTATTTTTGCCATGTTCAGGGATAATGTGGCTGTTCAAATTGTCCATCCGAGAGTAGCCCTTATTATATACGTATCAACTATAGTGGAGCCTCTTTAGGTCCTCTCTAACATCAAAATTTCTGGGTGATTAAGTCTTTTTTTTTTTTTCTGTAAACCCAGGTAGTTAGCCCTCTCCCTATTCATATTGTTATCATGTTTCTGTGGGATGAATTCGCTAGTGGGGATTTATTATTTAACATTTTTTACTTAGAATATTTTTTGCTATCTACTGTTTTAGTCATCATCTCATATGCATGGATGTAATGGATGAGAATTATTGATCTGATTTGGAAACTTTTTTATTAGTCATTATTATTGCTTCTGTTTCCACTACTTCTATTAAACTACATTTTTCTCTGGTCAAGAATCAGACGGCCCATTCTGACCAAAAAATTTAAAAAAATAAAAAAACGGTCAAAACAGTTGAATGATTTAAATGATTTGACTGCCTGAATCAGTGATTTGCTGACTAAATCAACAGTTTTTGGTAAAATAGCAGTTATGGGATAAAATGAAACCAATCACCTGACTAATTCCCAGTTTTTCTGGTCTGACTATTCGGTCTGGTCCGATTTTAAAAACCATACTATATATGCATGCAGCAAAATAAGCTGTCTTTCAGTTTAGACAGAAGCAAGGCTTGTAGACAAATAAAGGATTTGCATGATTTTTATTTATTTTATAATTTATAATTTCTACAAATCTTTATATAATATTTCCGACATTTTCAACCTGTTTGTGGTATTCGTAAGACTGATCATATTTCCTCCAATACCCGACATTTTAAATCTTAGACCCACCTTGCAAAGCCAGAATCCACTGCATGAAAATCCTCCCAAACAGGCACTAAGAATACTTGAGGCAAACATAATGGTGTTAGTGGGAAGGAATCAGCTGCTGGCTTTTGGCAGCGATGCAGTGGTGTGTGAAGCCCTGGAGGTGCAGTTTCCGGCACCTGCTGGAAGTGTTGTGTTAACTGGTCGTGGTGGACTGACATTTTCATACGGGGCCCATTGGGCTTTTTAGTCGGTTGATGTATAAATAGGGGTCCAACGCTTATTTCGTCTAGTTGGGTGTCCATGGTTTTGTTTGAGCTATTGTCTTTGTATTATTTTTTTTTTTCTTTTCTTAATAATTTTTTTTCTTCTTACATATTTATATCGAGAGAGATGTGGTCCCGGTCCAAAACATTTTTTTTTGAAAATGGTGAAATTTAATTAGAACTAGATGAAAAACAAATTATAAAGACCCATAACTGTCCCGATAAATAATTGGATCATTCGATATACCCGATTATATTGAAAACCGTTCATGCCAGACAAATAATAGGAATCGGCATTCGATTCCGATTTAAGACACCTATTCCTGGAAACCAAACAGGCCCTTAGTTTAAACAGGATTATATTTAGGCGGAAACATAGGACCGATTCATCTTTGAGTGTATTTTCTGTTTTCTCCTTAGGATTTAAAAGGCGCCTAATCACCTCCCCACATGTTTCTAGTTTTTCTGGTGAATTTTTTAGGTTTATATCATCATCATCATCAAAGCCCTATTCCAAATTTATGTGGTCAGCTGCATGAATCCTGTTTCGACTTGTGTAAAGCCATGCCTATTGTTAAATTATTTGTTACTAATGTCCTTTTTGTTCTACCCCAAATCCTTATTCTATCCCTTTCAACTTGTAACAATACTTTTTAGGGGTGTTGTTAATGCTCTATTCTATGAATTTTGACCAAATAATTTTAGCCTATTTTCTCTCAGTTTAGGGTTTGTATAAAATTAATATTAATCAGTCGTTTGCATTTAAAATGATTCAGTACTTGCAAAATTGGAAATACTGGGAATTTAGACCTCGTTTGGTTTATGGGAATGGGTCTAGAATCAGAATCAGAATGGGTTATTCTTTCCGATTCCGACTGTGAACAAAACGGACCCTTACATATATCCCTTCAACTTATTATACAATACGCCAAGCTCTATTAGTATATTCTTTGAAATCCTCACCGAGTTTACTCTACTGACTTTCGAGCCTAACTTGAGCACATACAGCTATCCAAACATAACCCAGAACTTCGTAGTTCTAAAGCATTGTTTTGGTTTGATGCAGGACACTCGACAAAGTTTCTACTTTCTACACAGAGGCACAACATGATATAAAAGGTGCGTGATATCAGAACAAATTCTTTAAACCTGATTTTTATTTGTGAATCCAAATGGATGAGGAAAGCCAAAATAGAACGATAGAGATACGGACCGGTCCTGAAAACCAGGATGAGTTAATATTTTATAATTCCATAGTGGACTGGAAGCCAAAACATGCTGAATCTAATAAAGAATGTCCGATCCCGACGGTTCCGAGAACATTGCGAGAAGTTGAAGGTAACGGGGCAGCCTATGATCCACAGGTGGTCTCCATCGGTCCTTATCACCATGGAAATTCTAATTTCGAGAGAATGGAGGACAAGAAGATAGGAATAGCACATATGTTAGTTTCAGAGAGTAAACAAATAAAGAATAAAGGGAAACCGAGTGATCAACCGGCAACATCAGGACAGACGATTACACACTCGGACATAGAGGCGTTATACCAGAAGGTGAAAAGCCTGTCAATAGAAGCAAAGAAATGCTACAGCCACGAGAATTTTCCAGATAAGTTACAGAACAATGATGAATTCGGTCGCGTTATGTTTTTGGATGGTTGCTTTGTGGTCTTTTTCATCCATTGTCTAATAAATAATAAGCTCAAGAGATGGGAGTTGAAAAGTGAAGATGTATTTTTCATAGGAACTGACTTGTTTCTTTTGGAGAACCAACTTCCTCTTACTCTCCTCGATGCATTGATGACTGAAGCATTTCCAGAAGATGCAAAAGATGGAATTTTCGACAAGTTCATCGAGAGAATCGTCTGTTTCGACTCCGATGACCGTCGGCAACTGCACCGCAATATACAAACCCAATCCGCTTGTCATCTCCTTGACCTTTTCCGGAAAAAACTTGTCATCAAAAGCATCGATCGAGGTGATGATATATTATTTAAGTTCCGATCTGGTTTTTGTAACACGATTGGATATTTCAGGAACTGCTTTCAAAGTCAATACGAGGAGTCAATTCCTTGGCATTCAATCCGTTCAGCGGCCGAGCTTAAAGAGGCGGGGATAAATTTCAAGAAGAGCAAATCATTTAACTTGGATAGTGTCCATTTCCAAAAGGGTCTCTTCTTTGGATATCTGACACTCCCTCCAATAATCATCGATCGCTCAACCAAAACTTTGTTTCTCAACTTGTTAGTCCATGAAAGATCTCTTCCTCCGGGTAATTCGATGGTGGCTTCTTATATCTGTTTCTTGGATTCACTCATTGATCAGGCTGATGATGTGAAGGTGCTCAGGTCAGACGATGTATTAATCAATCTTCTCAGTACAGATGAAGATGCCGCCAACATGATCAACCACTTGGCCAAGGAGCTGGTGGATCATAACGATTTTTCACGTGTTACCGACCAACTTAAAAGGTATACCCAACACAAGTGGACGGTCTGGTTTGGCCAAGTTTACCACACACACTTCAGTACCCCTTGGACTGTGATTGCATTCTTGGGTGCAATATTTATTATCATCCTCACCATTGTCCAGACCTACTTCACAATCTTCCCTCGGTAAGACGACGTACTGCAAGTAGTGCTGCTAGTATGTGGAGCCCCTTCTCCATTGCCATGGTTTTGCTTCTTTCACTATTGCTTTCGCTAGCTGTTATTCTAACTGGTGATCATGATTTGTTTTCTTTTCAATATTTAAGCTTTATCATTAATAATTAAGCCAATGGCCCAATGTAATACTATTCATGGATTGAAACCTTTGTAAGTTGAGTTGGTAATTATTGTTTTGTGATATTTCAAGTTTACATTAACTTCAAATATAATATATTCTCTATTAATTAGCTAATTAAGAGGGTCAGAAAAGAAAGAGCCAAGACAAAGGAAGAAAGAAACAAACCCTGCGTTTGGTTTAAAGGAAAAAGTAAGGAAAGGAAGGGAAAGGTAGGGACATCTATATAAACTTTGTATAGATTTCTCTACCTTTCCCTTCCTTTCCCTACCTTTTCCTTCAAACCAAACATAGCAAGGCAAAAGAACCCAGTCTGAAGCCTTGAGAATTAACCACCACGATGAAGGAGTCTTCCTGCCGCATCCATTCGAACCAGATCATTAAATAACCACAAGCCAGGAATGGAGGAGAAAGTGCCTTCTCGTACATGACCTTCGTTTGTAAGTAGACTTGGCAAAAAGTTGACCCAACCTGCAAACCCGACCCAACACAACCTGAAAAAACAGGGTTAGGGTATCATAATTAGCTACCTAAATGTGAGAATGACCCGACCCGACCCGACCCGACCTGACCCAAAAAAACTAGGTTGCGATGGCTCATGGGTCAACCCGCTGACCTGATTGTCCAGTCTAATTGGGACTATTTATGCATTATTAGAAGTTTTCACTCTTTAATTTTTTCTAATTAGTCTTTACTCTTTATCGTTTACTCTTTAAATTGTTAAATGTTCAAGTTTTTTTATTTATATTTGGAACTTTAAGGTTAATTATTTTAATTTTAGATTTTCATGTAGTTTTTCTTTATTTCTTTAAATTTCAGTTATTTGTTGGGATGACCCGAATTGACCCATGGGTCAACCCTAACCCGAACATTTAGGGATAGGGTCTAGCATTTGATAACCCAACCTGAAATAAAACCCGATCCGAAATCAACCTGAAGTGTCTTGACCCAACCCGAACCCAACCCACCCAACCCAATTGCCAAGTCTATTTGTAAGCCAATCAGCTACAGAGTTGCCTTCCTTGAGAGTGTGATTGTAGGATATTCTAAGCTTCCAGTCAACTAGCAGTTTCCTTACAATCCTTTATCAGCAAGAATCAGGTCCAGGGGACTTTGAACTTTCCTTTAGGCTGTGTTTGGTTGTAGTCCAATTTTATTTGCACTAGTACAAATGCATGGAAGTGTAAATGTAAAAAAAATGCAAATTCTTGTTTAATATTGTTTTAGATTTTATTTTATTCTGGTTTATGTCTTAATTTACTTCATTTGTACTGTAATCAAACAAAATAAGATAAAATTTAAAACAAACATAGGTTAGAATTTACACTCAAATCATTTGCACTGCCATGATTTTGCATCAGTGCAAATTTATTTGCATTGCAACCAAACACAGTCTTAAGGAAGTTGATGACTACCGGTACAGGTGGAAAATTTTCACCCAACCCAGTGAACCCACCCAACCCACCCAACCTGCCCATTTACTTGGCAGGTTGTGTGATCAACCCATCACCCAACCCGCCTATTTAAATGGGTTTGGTTGGGTAAGGTTGTGGATAACCATTGGGTTAACCATTACGGACATAAGTATTAATTCCATAGCATTTTTTTTTATTTTTTTCATTTGAATTAAATAATTTATAATTAATGCATTAATTTTCTATTAACTATTGACTAAATTTAGTTTTGTCTTGAATTAACTCACTTCACCCAACATAAATCCAAATCAATTTAACCCGAGTCCGAACCAGTTCAACATTGGCCAACCATTATTCACACAACCCAACCCGACTCGATACGTGTCGATCCGGGTTGACCCAAACCCGAATCGTTTTTGATTAGTACCAACCTGTATTAGGAGCGACCTGATTTACTTACCTTGACCCACTTCGAGTTAGTCGATTCGGTCCCAAACCTGTGCACAAACCTAATATGGTCCGGTCCATGTCAATCCACCATTGGCTGAACCGGTCTAGTCTAGTACGACCAAACTGATTTAAATCTAAATGGTTCAACCACCCTTGATGTGATTAGCTCGAAGATAATCCAATTAGATAGTTCAAGTTGGTCTGACCAGTTTGAACCTAAGTGGTTCGATCAAACCCAAAATTTGAACATAGTCAAATGGCTTCGCCGCTTGTGTAAAAATAACATCCATGTAATGTGATTTGAACCTTCACAACTTGTGTAAATAGTAACTACAATTACCACCAAACTATGACCAACTTATTTGTTAAGAAAGAGTTAGTTTGTTTTTTAAGTCCATAAATATAAGATTAATACCCCATAGGCGCAGCTCCCATCCTCTTTTGTCGAAGCACCAAAATTTACTTTTAGTTTATATAGCTTCGATCGAGGGGATGGGGATCGATCCAATGAGTTCACTTTGGGTCACTCTCGACCGTCAAGTTAGTGGTTTGATAATTGGCTTCAATGAACTCACTTGCGTACTAACTTGCTCTCAAGATTATCTCTTGGGGAGGGAGTGACACATTTTGAAAATTTTATTGTTCCTATTCTTCCAAAGGAACCAGAATAAGGTTGTTACCCTTTCTAGCATCCAACACTGTTAGACAGTTTTATATGCCCTTAGCTTCAATTCGATTTGATGTACTTTTGTTATTTAGTGGAAATAATTAAAGTGCATGTTTGATTCATGTTGTTTGGTATAATTCTATGTAAGACCCTAAAACTGGACACTTATAGAGACTCGTGTTAG